TCCTACTTCCGTAGTGATACTGCCTCAGAAACCCAAGGAGGGGTTGCTATGAGTCGGGGCCGACTCGATGGCAAATAACAACAACGACATAAATAACCTATGTCCCTCCCCCCTCATTTTGGAGGGAGTATAAACTCAGGTACAAGATTACAATTTATAATGTGCACGGTCTTATGTATATTTCTCCTTTCTACTACAGGAAATCTGGCCAACATATTAATACTTAGGAATTCACAGTAATTTATTCTTTACAAAGAAGTTCAAGTGGTGTTAAACTGGCCCGCAACAAAGTCAATTCTCTAAGAACTAGAGTTGCAAGCCTCCTAAACAGTTCATGATTTCCCAGCCATGCCAAGTTATGCATCAAGGATTCCTCTCATCCAAGAGGGCACAAAATGGTTCTGGACCCCACAAAATACAAGGAGGAAAATCCAATTGTGTTTAAGCTAAAATAAGTATAAATGCAAACCACATTTCCCTGTGAGTCAAGTCTCCCTAAATTGTCAAAGGAAAATTAATTCACTTTTGCAAACAGGAACATGAAGACTTATTGGCTCCCAACTGTCTCCACAGATATCGTAACCAATTCTGCTGGAAACGCTTTTAATAGAGCTCCAGATTTCGGCTCTGCGTTGCCAGGAGCGTTCAAGTGGGCCAGGCCAGGGGCACTGCAGCCACCAGACACAGGACAGCTAATTTTAACCCAAGCAGAAGCAATATCCTTAATGTTGTTAAAGCTTGGGAGAGAGGTCACCTTTTTTAGTTGCTATTTATAGAACTTCTGGGTTCTCTCCAGGGATGATGAAATCTAGGTCTACACTAAGGAAAGCACCCTGCTGTTAGCATCCAGAGAATTCACTTTCTCTTACCAAACTTGAGTCCACAAACATGATATGAAGGGTTCCTTTGTAAATGGCACAGTCACTTAAATGTTATCTCTCGAAGGGAACCTAAATATTCACATAACCTCACTTACAAAAACTGAATGTATTAACAATAAGTAGCATTAATAGAACACTACACAGCTATATATTCAGCCTAGACAGCACACCTGAACTCCAGACTCGTTAAGTATACCTTACAATCAAGGACCAAAAAAATAAATAAATAACCAAAAAGCAAAATCCATTGCCATCAAGTCAATTCCAACTCAGAGCGACCCCCGTTGGGTTTCTGAGGCAGTAAATCCTTATGTAAGTAGATTGCCCAGTCTTCCTTCCGTGGAGTGGCTGGTAGGTTTGAATGACTAAACTTCTGGTTAGCAGTCTAATTTCTTAGGCACTTCACCACCAGTTATTGTTTGTTATTATGTGCCATCAAGTCAGACCTGACTCAGTGACTCCTCCTTGGGTTTCCGAGGCGGTATCACTACGGAAGTAGATTGCCCAACCTTCCTTCTGAGGAGTGGCTGGTGGGTTTGAACTGCCAACCTTCTGGTTAGCAGTCAAGTGCCTTAGGCACTACACTACCAGAGCTCGCAGAGCTCATTTGATTCCAACTATAGTGACCCTGTAAGACAGAGTAGAGCTGCCCCATAGGGTTTCAAGGCTATAAATCCTTACTGAAGTAGACTGCCTCATCTTTCTTCCATGGAGTGGCTGGTGGGTTCGAACTATGGACATTTTGGATAGCCACCAACGCTTTAACCACTGTACCACCAGACTTCCTTATAATCAATGACAGTGGGTGTCCAAAAG